TTCGGCCCACGTGATGGGTGCACCTCAAGTACCCAGTTTGGGTGATAGGGGAGGCTGTGCCACCAGACCCCTTGGAACACCTACTATATTAAGCCACACTACAAAGAAACAGAGTCAAAGCAGCTGTACCTAATGTGTAGAAATAAACACAGGGAGGCTGCCAAAATGAGGAGACAAAGAAACATGCCCCACATCATAAACAAATCAACAAACAACAAGTGCCAGAGAAGTTGTAGGAAAAAGGGAACCCTAGTACACTGTTGGTGGGAATGCAGACTGGTGCAGCCACTGTGGAAAAGAGTCTGGAATTTCCTCAAAAGGCTAAAAATGGAACTGCCTTTTGACCCAGCAATTCTACTGCTAGGATTATACCCTAAGAATCCCAAAAAACCAATTCAAAAGAACCTATGCACGCCAATGTTTATAGCAGCACAATTTACAATAGCCAAGTGCTGGAAGCAACCTAAGTGCTTATCAATAAATGAGTGAATCCAAAGACTATGGTATATTTACACAATGGAATACTATGCAGCATAAAGAAAGAAAGAGCTATTACCCTTTCGTGACAGCAATGGATGGAACTGGAGAGCACTATGCTAAGCAAAATCAGCCAGCGAGTGACAGACAAATATGATTTGATCTCACTTATAAGTGGAACCTAATCAACAAAACAAAAAAGCAAAAAAAAATATAATCAGCAACATTGAAAGAATAAACAAACTGACAGTAACGAGAGGGGAGTATGAAGGGAGAACTGAGGAAAAGAAGGGGAAGAGTCAAGTCAAGGAACATATATAAAGGACCCATGGACAAAATCAAAGTGGGGAAGGATTGAGGGTTGGGAGGTGGGGGTGGGTGGTGCAGGGAAAAGTAGTGGTGGGAAAATGGAGACAAATATATCTGAATAATAAAATTTTTCTTTTAATTTTTCAAAAAGTGAAAAAAAGAAACATGACCCAAGTGAAAAACAGATAAACACTCCAGAAAGAGTTAAATGAAATGGAAATAAGCAACCTATCAGATGCAGAGTTTAAAACACTGGTTATAAGGATATTCAAGGAATTTAGTGAGGACCTCGGCAGCATAAAAAAAGAACCAGTCAGAAACAAAGGATACACTAACTGAAATAAAGAACAATTTACAGGGAAACAAGAGTAGAGTGGATGAAGCCAAGAATCAAATCAATGATTTGAAACATAAGGAAAAAAAGAACAACAAGAAGATAATAACAATCAGAACAATAAGAAAAAAAGAATCCAAAAAAAAAATTAGGATGGTATAAGCAGCCTCTGGGACAATTTCAAGAGGTCCAATATTCACATCATAGGGGTGCCAGAAGGAGAAGGAAAAGAGCAAGAAATTGAAAATCTACTTGAAAAAAATAATGAAAGAAAGTGTCCCTAATGTGGTGAAGGAAAGAGACATACAAGTCCAGGAAGCACAGAAAGTCCCAAATAAGATGGATGCAAAGAGGCCCACTCTAAGACACTTCATAATTAAAATGCCAAAGGTTAAAGATAAAGAGAGAAACGTAAAAGCAGCAAGAGAAAAGAAGTTAGTTACCTACAGGGGAGTTCCCATAAGACTGTCAGCTGATTTCTCAAAAGAAACTTTGCAGGCTAGAAGGGACTGACAAGAAATATTCAAAGCTATGAAAAGCAGGGACCTATGACTAAGATTTCTCTACCCAGGAAAGCTACCATTTAGAATGGAAGAGCAGATAAAGAGCTTCCCAGACAAGAAAAAACCTAAAGGAGTTCATCATCCCCAATTCATTATTGTATGAAATATTAAAGGAACTTATTTAAGAAAAAAAGATCAAAACAATAAACAATAAAATGGCAAAAAAGACACACCTATCAACATTGAATCTAAAAAACAAACTAAGCAAAAAAGAACAAAGACAGAATCATGGATATGGAGAACATATGATGGTTGCCAGATAGGACGGGTGTTGGGGAGAATGGGTGAAGAGGCAAGGGGATTAAGAAGTACAAATAGGTAGTTACAGAATAGCCATGGGGATGTAAAAGTACAGTATAGGTAATGGAGTAGCCAAAGAAAATACATGCATGACCCATGGACATGAACAATGGCGGGGGGATTGCCTGAGGGAGTGGGGGTGCTTGGTAGAGCAGGGCAAAGGGAGAAAACCCAGGACAACTGTAATAGCATAATCAATAAAATATAATTTTTAAAAAATGGTTAAGATGGTAAATTAAAATTATGTATATTTTACCTCAACTGTGATTTTTAAATACCCTTAATAATTCTGCACTGCTCTGAAGATCAAAACAAAGATCTTCCATTTGTTCTGTAGGGTCCAGCTGCTCTGCGCTGCCTCTCCCTGCAGCTCATCACCTGCATTGGCTCTTTGCTGCAGCCACCTGCCTGACTGTAACAGTGAGAAATTGTAACCTACCCCAGCATTCTTTTGACATTGTTTCTGTCAAAACAATGGATAAACAGCATGTTCATATAAGAATCCTAGGAACTAACTTCAAAAGATACAAATGCCAATGTTCAGGCATCCCAGCTCCAGGAGATTTTCTGACCTTCAGCCATGGAACCAGAATGACATGGAACCAGATGAGTAAACCAGGATGACATACAACGGACATCACTTAGCTTATCGGAATGGACTGTGCTCATTTCCACACAGAGAACTTTGCAACCTCCTTCCTTGATCTCTTTGTTCTGTTCCCTTCTCCCTCCGTATAAAAACCTCTGCCTCCAGTGAGAGGTGGAGATGGGCTTTGAGAAATGAGGCCCCCATCTTCCAGATGGCAGGCATCTGCAAATAAACCATCTTTCCTTTACATCAGCCCCTGCCTCTCAACTATTGGCTTTGGCAGCCACAGGCAGCTGAACCCACTTTTAGTTACATGATGATTTTATACTCCTTTAGAGGCATCAGGATCCTTCCACCTTTGGGCTTTGGTAGATGCTGATTCATCTTCCTGGGACAGAAAGATTTTCACACAACTGGCTGTTTCTCCTGGTTCAGTTCTCAGGCCCAATGACTTGTCAGAGAAAACTGCTTCATTCTCTCCCACAGTCTTATAAGTTGTATTAGTTCAATGGTACTGTGTTGGTCACTGTAGTTTCCCAGGTGTTGAGAGTAGTGCCAGCATCCACCAGGCATTTAAATAGTTGCTAGGTAACAACACATAAAACATCCCTGGAAGGTGGCAGTTACTATTACTATTTCACAGATAAGAAAGTGGAGATCCAGATAAGTTTTTCACCTGCTCATGGCCCCAAAACTTGTAAGAGACAAAGCTAGAATTTAAAAACAGATTTGGCTGAAATCAGTATCCTTGGTGCCCTAGCTCTTCTCTCTGTCTTCTCCCATGCTCCACTCTTACAAGTTCCATCATCCGCTTTGGGACTCCTTGAAGAACCCGTGCATCTTGTCACAGAAGCCAAAGCAGCAAATGTTTTAGCCTGTTAGACACGCACTCACAGAATTGCATACTAATAGACATATGTAAACAGATATACACATACACAAACAAAAATCATCTCTCTTTTTCTACTACAGAGTTAATCTTATTCAGAATTAAGACAACTATTCCAATAACTGAATGAAAAGAATTGGGCTGTGGTTAAAGAAAATGCTCATTCATTCATTTATTCACTCATGCACCTGTTATTTGTTGTGCTCTGGGGATTCCAATGGACAAGGAAAACTGACCAGGTAGAACCACATACTCATTTGGCTAGAGCACATCAGGTGTGCTGTGTTTCGGTGATTCTCAAAGGATCACTTGCATCCACTCTCCTATGGGTACTATTATATCCCTACTTTACAGATGAGAAAACAAGCAGATAGGTTAAGTGAACTGATGAAGGCCACACAACTGAGCTGGAACAAGAAAAACCAGGTGTAACTCCCAAACCCACTCTCTTAACTTCTCAATGTTACATATGTCATTCTTGAACATTTTTAAGTTCCTTCCCCCAGTACTGGAATATACAAGGCCCTTGCTTGCTACTCAAAGTGGAGCATGTGAGTCAGCATCATCAGCATCACCTGGGAGCTTGTTAGAAATGCAAATTATTGGATTCCACCCCATACATACTGAATTGAAATCTGCATTTTAATAAGACCCCAGGTAATTCGTGTGCACTTGAAAGCTTGAGAAGCATTCTCCAGATTACTGATGAGTACAAACACAGAAAGCAGAGTAATTTTTGTATGCCCGAACAATTTTCTAGATTTTTCCTTTTTAACATTCAGTTACTTCGGACTAAAAAACTCAAGCGACCATGAGTGATGGGAATAAATCCTAGTGTCTGCTGCCACCTTGTGGTTAAAAGTTTCAACACAGCCAAAATTGGCTCTTTTCCACAAAATAAATGGGAAAATGTTAGAAGGAAGGGGTGGACCAGGCGCTCAACTTTTTTAGCCATGTGCTTTAAGAGACCCCTACAAAATCCCAAAATATAATAAAATAGTCTTTGGGGTGCCGTTTGAGAAGACCAGATAACCACTGGCCTTTTCATGTGTGTCCCTGGGGTAAAGGGTATCATCAGTTCTCATTAAGAGATCTAACAAAAGCTGGGATCATTGGTATTGCTATAGGTTCTTTCCTTCCTGGAATTCAGTATGCACAGATGAATGTGATAATCAATTTGTGTGTGATGATTTTATTACCAACCTGAATGGTGGTGTTTAGATTATCAGGTCAGCTTTTCTGCATTTGCCTTGCCCAAGGAGCTACAACACCTATTCCACAAAGTGAAAAGGAATTTCCCACTGCTCTGCCAAGTGCATCACTGGGAACTCTGTGAAGTGGTGAACAAGGCCAGGCCTACAAATGATGTCTTTGACATCTGGAGGCAAATAAAAAAATTTTCAAAAATCTCCTACGTATTTTATCCCAAACAGCCCAGAAATTAAAAGTGCCTCAGTCACTGGGTAATTTTGTTTTGAAGTCTGTGAGCTCAAAAGCTAAAGAATTCCCAAACAGCTACTGCAGGTGACGTTGAGAGCAATGGACAGACCTCAGCTCTATCAACCGGAGCCCTTTAAGTTTGGTTATGGAAGAGTTAGCCAGTACCGAAGAGTTGGGCAGCAACCCAGAAGAAAAAAAGGCTCATTCAAAAGGAAGGGGATGGAAAGGTAGGAAATTGGGACTTGCTTTATTTTCCATTGAGTGAGGCTCTTTGGATTTTGCATTAAACAATATTCACTGTGACATTAGAAGAGGTAGCATCCTTTTAAGCATCTCTTTTTAAACATTGCATTTGGAAATAAAGGCTCTGTGTGCAATGGAAGAGGGCGCTGTGTTTATACATTAGATCAAGAAACTTCACTTTGTCATCTGAAAAGTCTTTATTATAATGAGGAAAACCTTTCCTTTCCCCTGAATTTGAGTTTTAATGCGGCATATGTCCCCAAAGTAAGCACTGGTACTAATTTCAGTCTCAGCATTTTAAACATCACCCAAATTATTTTGAAAATTCAGTAGTTCATTCAAGATGAGTCAGTGTTTTTGTTTCTTTTCCCAGCAATGTTGGCTGCTAAAATAGGTACTTACTATATTTCACCTATGTGTGTGCTCTTTAATGTAACCTGAAAACTGTCTTACACCTGATATTTCTTGACAACGGCAACACCATGAATGCAGACATGAAATATTCCAAATATAATACATTTTAATTTGGAAAGTCAGTTAGATTATTTATTTTCCAATTTCTTCGGCTTCTTTCTTACTAGGGTCATTAGCAATAGCTCAGGCACAGAGAAATGAGTTGTTTTTATGAGGCCAGAAGCATCACAGACTCAAGTTTTGAAATTTCATGGACAAAATGAAATTTGCAGAGATGTTCACTTTTATAAAGAAATAGGAGTTGAAGCGATACAACCGAATAAATTCACTAATAACAAAGAAATTTAAAAACTTAAAAAGGGTAGTATTCTTTGCATAACAGACATAGCAGCCGTTCTATTCTAGGCCCTGAAGCAAAATCACTTTTGTTAATTGCTATAAATAGATTAGGAATAGGGGAAGGAGCGATGGGAATGGAAAACACATTCTAGAGATTTCAGAGACTGCTAAGAGCTGGGTTTTTTTTTTACCTGAGAAGTTGCACGGAAGACCTTCAGTGCTCCCGGACCTCCTAAAATGTTTTTTCATTGTTGCGTGTGTGAGCATGTGTGTATTTACAGTACTAGAAAAAGATGGCTTTATTAAAGGATGCTTAGAGGGGTCTATGGAAGATTGATCCTAGCCCATAAATGACCTTTGGGTGAATTAGAACATGACACTCCTTCCTGAGGATACTGTACTGTCAACTGCTAGAAAGCTATTAGAGTAACTATACACAACTGTAATGACTAAATGTGAATCACACCTCCTAGAAATTGTGAAATGTTAACTGGTTGACCTCTGCTAACCCAGAAGGTCTCCCTTCTTTTGACCTCTACCCTGTGCTCCCTTGTCTTTTACATTTTTCCCACACAGATCTGATACACATGGTACTAAAAGCAATCATTGATTGAATGTTTTGTTAGGTTCCAAGCACATCAGTTATGCCTTTTATTCACACATTCCTGAGAATAGTATGCCTATTATCATATGGGAAAACCGAAGCTTACAGAGTTGAATAACATGCCCAAGATCACACAGCGAGGAAGTATGTTGCTGGGTTGAACTGAGATCATTTACCTCTAGCACTGGGGCTCTTACTGACACACTTTCCATGTATAATGACAGAGGAGCTGGATAGCTTAAGTCCAGTTTTGAACAATGTTTTCCTGAGTATATGTGCTACTGGTGGCACATGAAATATTTTAGGTAGTATACAAAGAACATTTTTTTTAATGGTTGTGAATTTATTTACATCCACATTAGAAATTTGTACAGGGTCTGGCAGAAGCAAGGCCTGCTTGAGTGTCATTGGTAGGGTAATAATATGGGGGTAATAATTTATAGTTTTAATTTAAACATTTCACCTAAAATATATGGTGTGCTAGAATGTGGTATTGTTATGTTACAGAATTACATGCTTATGACTTTGTAATAGAAGATTTAGTAATAAAAAAGGGGTGTTATTTGTGCTGGACCCTGTATTACAGGTATTATCAGGTATTATTACAGATATTACAGGTTATCTCATGCATATAATATGATATAGCATAATATGTAACCTGTGATTTCACTCAAAGAAATGGAGACTTATGGTCACACAAAAACCTATATACAATGGTTATGCAGCTTTATTTATAATAGCCCTGAAGGAAAACAACCCAAATGTCTTCCAATGAGTGAATGTTAAACAAAGTGTGGTACATCCATATCATGAAATGTTACTCAGCAATAAACAGGAACAAATTATTGACATACAAGAACATGGATGAATCTCCAGAGAAATATGTTGAATGAAAAAAGTAAATCCCAAAATATTACATACTGCATGATTTCATTTATATAACATTCTCTAAAAGATGTAAATTTTATACATGAAGAACAACTTAGTGTTTGCCGCGGGTTAAAGAAAATGTGAGGTGAGGGAGAAGTGGTTGTGATAAACATGTTCTGTATTTTGATAGTCTCAATTTCAATACCCTGGTCATGATAATGTGTTATAGTTTCTCAAGAGATTACCATTGGGGGAAACTGGGTAAAGAATAACAGAGTTTCTTTTTTTAAAAAAAATAGACAACATATTTTTTGTTTTTTAATCATTTTTTAATGTTATTCTGTTACGGTTGTCCCAATTTTTTCTCCTTTGTCCTCGTCCACCCATCCCCCCCACCCCATGCCCACCCCGGCACAGTCAATTCCCAGGTTGTAGTTCATGTCCATGGGTCATTCATACATGTTTTTTGTCTAGCTCCTTCCACTTCTTTCCACCATGATTCCTGTCCCTGCTCCTCTCTGGGTACTTTCAGTCTGTTGCATGTTTCCATGCCTGTGGTTCTATTTTGTTCATTAGTGTATGTTGTTCATTAGATTCCTCTTGTAGGTGAAATCATATGGTATTTTCCTTTCATTGACTGGCTTATTTCACTTTGCATAATACTCTCCAGTTCCATCTATGGTGTCACAAAAGGTAGGAGTTCCTTCTTTCTTTCTGCTGCATAGTATTCCATTGTGTCAGTGTACCACAGGTTTTTGATCCACTCACTTACTGATGGACAGGCGGTTTCCAGCATTTCGCTATTGTAAATAGAACTGCTATGAACATAGGAGTTCATAAGTTCTTTTGAATTGGTGATTCCAGACTCTTAGAGTATATTCCTAGCAGCAGAATTTCTGGGTCAAAAAGGCAGTTCCATTTTTAGTTTTTTGAGGAATTTCCATACTGTTTTCCACAGCGGCTGCACCAGTCTACATTCCTACCACCAGTGGACTAGGGTTCCCCTTTTTCCACAATCTCACCAGCACTTGTTGTTTGTTAATGTGTTAATGATGGCCATTCTAACTGGTATGAAGTGCTATCTCATTGAGGTTTTAATTTGTACCTTTCTGATGACTAGTGATGTTGAGCATCTTTTCATATGTCTATAGGCCATCTGTTTGTCCTCCCTGGAGAAGTGTCTTTACAGGTCCTTGGCCCATTTTTTAATTGGATTATTTGTCTTCCTGGTGTTGAGTAATCTATAGATTCAGTGTAATTCCTATTAAAATGCCAATGGCATATTTCACAGATCTACAACAAATATTTCAAAAATTTATATGAAACCAACAAAGCCCCCAAATAGCCTCAGCAATCTTGAGAAAGAAGAACAAAATATGAAGGATCACAATACCCAATATCGAACTATACTACAAGGCCTCTATAATTGAAACAGTCTGGTACTGGCATAAGAACAGATACATAGATCAATGGCACAGAATAGAGAACCCAGAAATAAACCCATGCTTCTATGGTCAATTACTATTTGACAAAGGGGACATGAGCGTACAATGGAGTAAAGACAGTCTCTTCAATAAATGGTGTTGGGAGAACCGGACTGGTACATGCAAAAAAATGAAACTAGACCACCAACTTACACCATATAGCAGAATAAACTCAAAATGGATAAAAGACTTAAATATAAATTGTGATACCATAAAAGTCCTAGAGGAAAACAAAGGCAGGAAAATTTCAGATATCCCACATAGCAATATTTTTGCTGATATATCTCCTAGGGCGAGGGAAATAAAGGAAAAAATAAACAAATTGGACTACATCAAACTAAAAAGCTTCTGCATGGCTAAAGAAACTATCATCAAAATGAAAAGGGAACCAACCATGTAGGAGAACATATTTGTCAACGATACATCGGACAAAGGTTTGATCTCCAAAATATATAAAGAACTTAACATATTATTCCTTACAAATGACAACTTTAATTTTTTTTTAATTCCTGGTATTTTATGGGTATTATTGCTTTTGGATGAGATTAACAAAAAACTGTTCATTGAGGAAGAATATTAGGTAAATTCTAGTATTATGGAATGGGTGATGTTTACTCGCACAGAGGATAACAACACAGACCTTGGGATCAGATTGTTTGGGCGTAAGTTATTTAATCTTTCCAAGTTTTAATTTCCTCTTTGTAAAAGGTAGATGACCATATGAGGGTTAAATTATGTGTTACACATGAAAAAAGCAGAGTATTTAGCACATAGAAATCTATTAAGAAGTTTTATTTATTTTTATTACTAAAATATGCCAAAATGATGAAGATGGTATATGACTGTTTAGAATTTTGGAACTGTGTTTAGAATTATTCTAAATGAATGTTCTCTGTAAATGGATCCTTGGAGACTATATTCTTTATTGGCTATCCTAGCATACTGTTTCATCTCTCACCACCGAAGTCTTAAAATCACCAAATCCAGCAAAAACTATCTCAAGCCATCATTGAAATATGATTGCCAATTTGTCGATATGAGGTAATATATTCTAACAGTCACAAACCAAGATTAAAATCTGCATTTGTACCTGGTCAATTAATTTAACCTCTCTATGTCTCCGTTTATTCATTAATAAAATTAAGATAATAATATAACCTGCCTGCTGTGAGGATTAAATGAGATAGTGGCAGAATGCACTTACTAAAGTTTGGTGACAAGACACCAAGTAGTGGCTTTGGCTTTATTTTCTGTGACTTGATTCTCAGGATTGTACAATTTGTTCATATTTGCAACTTGGATTTTAATGATTTCAATTGTTTATTTTTAACTTTTCAATTTCCTTAATACAAATTATTTTTATTTTGTTTAGATGGCACAGAGCTGTGTCTACCAACTTAGTAAAAGAGAATGTATTGGTCCCCAAAGAGGACTCATCTAGTAGTAGTGACATGGAATTTCATGAAAGCCAGCAAAATCAGAAAAAAAATTTGATGAAGAAAGTGAAGACTTTTGTCGGCAGAATGTTGTCATCCGAGTACAGATGCAAGCCCACAAATGTCAGTGGAGAGGGAACCACACAGAGCCTTCTTCCTAGAATTGTCAAGGAGCTTCCATCACCGAGGTTATTCACCACACCAAGGATCAGAAAGCTCTCACAGAATGGTAATCACAGGCAATATATGGCTAAGGGTTGAGGCCAATAGAAACAATAAAATTAAGATGGATTTTCTTGCTGCTCAATGTAGGGTATCACCTGGGATCTTGTCTGCAATGCAGGCTCCCAGGCCCCACCCAGGTCTACCAAGTCAGTATCTGTATTTTAGAAAGATCCCCAGGTAACTTGTACATACATATATTTTTGAAAGTTTCAAATTAGATTGCATTTGGTACCTTCCAGTCCAATTGATCAGTGGTTTAATCAGTTTAAAACCCCTTTTTATTTAAATATACAGGGTCCAGCATAAATAATGCTCCTTTTTAATTACAAAATCTCTCATTACAAAATCATCAGCATGTGATTCTGTAACATAACAATATCACACTCGAGCACACCATATGACATTTTAGGGGAAATATTCAAATTAAAACTATAAATTATTACCTCCATATTATTACCCTACCAACCACACTCAAGCAGACCTTACTTCTGCCGGACCCTGTATATGCATACATACATATATGTCAGGAAATCAAACTAAAGTGGGATGGCTAATTCCAACAGTCAAGGGTGTGGTGAGAATTCTATGAATAAAATTTATGATTGGTAAGTCATAATGGATATTTTATTCTATTGTATCTACTTCTCTTGTAGTTTGTGAAAGAATGGATATCTGAAGAAAAACATTGTCTTTTTTGCAAGTAGTAATGCTGACTTAGAAGGTCCTATGAGTGATAACTAACAATACCACTAATATTTGCATTCTCCTCTGTAGATTTTACAAATTAATAGATCTTATTTTTTAGAGCAGTTTTTAGATTTACTGGAAAAATTGAGCAGAAAGTATAGAGAATTAGTTCCCATATGGCCCCTCTCCTCACCCCACATTCACAACTGATGATCTATTATTGATATATTATTATTATTATTATTATTATTAACTAAAGTCATAGTTTACATTAGGGTTCACTCTATGCCTTGCACAATTCTATGGGTTTGAAAAACTCATCATGTAGTGTCATGTAACCACCATTACAACATCATACAGGATAGCTTCACCTGCCTAAAGAGCCTCTGTAGCTTCTTAATATCCTTTATAGCACAACATCAGGGAACATATACAGCCTTTCTGCATTTGCAGGGAAGCCAGACATAATTTCACATTTTGCACAGTGATGAGGCTGAAAGCCTAGTGGGTACTTTTCCCACAAAAAATAAAAATGAAAAACCGATGGCTTCAAGTTGGCTGAGTGTCCTTTCAAACAAACTTCTGGAAAAAGCAGTCACCATACAAACATCCAAGCATCTAACAGTTACCTTGGGATGGAGTGACCTGCCTCTTTCTGTTGAAAGTAACAAAAAGAACATGCTTCTATATTGATGAAACAGGGGTTGAAGAGTCCGGCAGGACACAGAAGACCATCTTCCTTTTCCTCATTTGTGTACATTGGCTTATTTTTGTCTTAGTTGGAGTAACAAATCTCTACACTAAGATTTCTCCAGAAAACCTGATCATCCTTCAGGCTTCAGCTCAAGTATTACAACCCTGTCTCACCTACGGCCCAAAAACCATTGCCTTCCCTGCTGACCCTCATAAGTTTCCAATAAATATTTGCTAGGTACATATTACATGTCAGCCACACTTTGGGGACAGAGTAGCAAGTAGAACAGACATGATCCCCACCTCTATGTAGTTACAGCACAGAGCAACATTCTAACATTACACAGTTACATCTGATGCAAAGTAGAACACGAGGTGTTCTGAAAACACATCACACATGCTACTTTAGGGAAGGACACTCCAAAAAGGCCTCCCTAAAGAAGGGATTACTCAGTGGAGATCTCAAGGACACCTAGCATCAAATTAGTAAAGAATGATGAGAACCATGTCCCAGGGAGAGGGGGAGCATATTCAATCCCAATATCAAGAGAGCACCAGACATAATTAAGAAATGAAAGTAATCCAGCCAAGGGTGTTGTAAACCCTGTTAAGAATTTTTTACTTTTCCTAAGGATGATAAGAAATCATCAAATATTTGCAAACTGGGGATTTATATAATCTAATTTGCATCTTTAAAAGATAGCTCAGTCTGCAAAGTGGAGACTGGATTGGAAGAAGGCAGGACAAATGCAGGAAGAACAAAATAAACAGACTCAGACTCATATTCATTCAGGCAAAGGATGGCATTAGCATGAGCTGGTCACAGCAGTGGAGATAGAGGAGCTGGGTAGTGGAGGGTTAGGCAGTGAAGAGAGTCTCTGGGCTGAGCACCTGCTTTGAAAGTGGAGCCCCCATTCATCAACGTTAGGTGTCATGGCTCCACGAGAGGATCCTTATCAACAGACCTTAAGCAGGACAAGATGAGTTTAGGTGCTGTGCACAGCAAATCACTGAAACACAGACCAAACTGCAAATACATTTTCCCACTGTCCCCATGAATCTCTTTAACTACATCAAGGAAAACGTCTCATTTCCTGCCTTTTCCTCTTATTTTAATAAAAAGCAACTTCAAGTTTAGTGCCTTCCGCAGCCAGTAACATGGTTTTGTTTTTACCATATTATTTTTAGTATCTATTTATGATACTGGTTTTCAACTTATGGTAGCATTTTAAAGTTTTCTTTAGAAATACATTTATTTTGTTAAGAATTGAATTGATATAAAAAATACTAAAGAATTCACATAGCTCCTGGATTATGGGCAAAACTGTTAGGATGGTATGTCAACACCTGAGCCTTGAGCCACATTGCTGATGGGTAAATTTAAATTTATTTCAACCAACAACAAATATTGAAGGGATATCTTACACATTAGAGGTTACTTTTTCTAATTTCACAACAGTTAAAGGGAAAAGCAACAGAGGGCAAACTGAAGTCTCCAGGACAGAGAGGTGACCAACGACCTTATTAAGACTGGTCAGTGACCACTGAGATCACAACCGCAAGAAAAGGCAAATGTGTGCAAGAGAAAATGTAAGATACAGAAAAGCAAATCCATGTGTAATTTTTAACCCAAAGGAAAAAACTACTGAGGCAGCATGTGATGCTCTTTTTCAGAATACTTTCTAATAGGAAGAACATGTTTATCATTGTGATCATTACAGGTTCTTTTTTTCCCCCCCTCTTCACTCTAAGCGACTATACAACTTGATGTTGTAGAAGCAGAGACAGAGAAGATAACCCAAGGAAATACACTCCTCCGAGCCAGGAGAACCACCAGACGGTTATCTGTGACATCCCTTCCTTCAGGACTGCGGAAGGTATCGTAAAACACTGAAACAAATTGGCCTCTGAAGATTTACGTGTAGTTAATGTTTAGCATGTTATAAATACCAGCTTCTCTCCTGCCACATGTCCCTCACAAGAAAGGCTTTCAATCTCCTGCTTATGTGTCCTCTCCAGGAATTTAGGGTCCAGAAAACAGGCTAATCAGGTCTGATTCCTCCATTTCTGAGCTCAAATGGTTTCTACTTCAATCTGAGAAGTAGATTGATTCTACTCAAACTGAGCTTCGACTACAATCTCAGTAACAATAAAGCTTAAAGCTCTATATTACTATATTAATGGTTCAAATACCAAGTTAGTATACTAGCATCTGGCCTATCATGCATGCCATGTGGAGAGCATTCACTAGATCAGCACTGCCCAGCAAAACTTTCTTTGAGGATGCAAGTGTTCAATACAGTAGGTGCTAGCCATATGTGACTTTTGAGACTTTGAAATGTTGCCAGTGCAACTGAGGAAGTGAATTTTTTATTTTATTTGACTTTACTTGAAATTAAAACGTAAACGGCCACATATGTAGGTAGTATAAAGAATGCAGCCCTAGACCACCCATGATTGTCCAAACCAGAGCTTATATTTATCTGTAGGTATGTAAATTTGAGCCTAAATTGCTCAGACTGAAATATTGTTATTTTAAATATAAAACATTTACGTAAAGCTGACTATATTCTAGACCCTATTCCAAGTGCTTTAAAAATATCAACTTATTGGCCCCGGACAGGTGGCTCGATTGGTTGGAACATCATCCCATTCACCAAAAGGCTGCAGGTTCAATTCTTAGTCAGGATACATGCCTAGGTTGTGGGTTTGGATGCCCAGTCAGGATGCATATGGGAGACAACCAATCAATGTTTCTCTCACATTGATATTTTTCTCTCTCTCTCCCTTTCTTTCTATCTCTCTAAAAGCAATAAAAATATATCCTTAGGTGAGGATAAAAAAAATATATCAACTTATCAGGTAATTCTTACAACAGTCCTATAAGGTATGACAATGTTATCCTTATTTTAGAGATGGCATAGAGGTTAAGTCATTTGTCCAGATGAGTGACAGAGTCAGGCTTCTAAGCCAGGAAGATCTGGATCTAGAGTCCTTGCTCTTTAATTACTATGCTAAGTACTAATTGTACCATCCAGTATGGTAGTCGATAGCTACATGAGACTATTTGTTAATTAAAATTAAATTAAATTAAAAATTCAGTTTTTTATTGCACTAGCTACATTTCAAGTTCTCAATTAATATGTGGCTAGTGGCAGAACAGATAAAGAACATTTTTATTTTCACAAAAAATTTGATTAAAAAGCACTGCTCTAAAGCATCAGAGTACACCATATTAGTTTTGAATCTTGCCTCTTTCACACAAGGTTCATATTTATTGTATTCCTATTATGTACCGGGCAATTCCTAGGTTTGGAGCTACAAAGGTGATCCTATGGGCATGGTCCTGTTTTGTGGGATTTATAGCTTAATAGAAGATATAGACGTGAAACCATGGCACTGTAGAGTAGTGGAATAAGGATAATCATTTGACTGAATGGAACTGGGGCAGGTGGATACAGAGGAAAAGATGAAATTTGATCCCTATCTCACACCATATGCAAGGCTTAGTTTTTGTTGGGTTATAGATCTCTATGGAAAAGGTAAAACCTTAAAAATTTTTTAAGGACAATAAGAATATCTTCATGATTTCAGTATAGAGAAAGGCTTCTTAGAATACATCACTGACCATAAAGGAAAAGATGGATATGTAATTGAATGCAGGACTAGCTACCTGATGCAATGAAAGCCCAACACAGGAGACAGGTGTTGGAAAGAAAGGAAAGTGGTTTATTTCAGATGCCAGCAATATGGAAGAGGGAGGAGTCTTGTCCCAAGGCCCATCTTGTCATCTCTGGTCAAGCCAGTGATTCTTATGGGAGTTGGTGGGAATTTGGGATGGGGGAGTGAGGATGTGCAGGTGCTGGTGAGAGAGGAAAGTGGGAGTAAGGGGAAGGGCTGTGGACATGCAGGACCCGATATGAATTTTCATGGTCAACACCCCTGGGTTGGCCACCTGGGTTTTTGTCAGCTGAATTCCTGAACCAGGACCTTGAGGTCAGGTTGCTTCTTAGGTTCACACAGGAATTGTCACTGCTGAACTATAAAGTGTACTTAGAAAAGAAACAGAACACGCAAGCTCTAGTTTTGAGGGCAAAACTAGAGCAACAAGCTGGGTTTAATATTTAATAAAATTGATATGGGTAGCTTCATATAAGTATAGTATATTCATTCCCTGTTACAGATACTTTTGGCTATATGAAAATTAAGAATTTCAGTTCATCAAAAAACATTAAATTAGGCACTGCTTCATCTGCTGGCCAATGACAGTGGTGGGGAGATAAGCGGCTGGTGTGGGCCCCTGGCCAGTGGGTGGTACACCCCGTGCCCAACACCTGAACCTGAGCACTGAGAGTTTGAGTCCCACCCCCATATCGCCAAACAGTGCCCCAGGCCCAGGGTGAGGCAGCGGATGCAGCCCTGATGAGGTCCTCAATCCAGGCAGTTGACTGACTGGATGACAAATGATAAGTTCGACAGTGAATGCCAGGGGCAATGTAGAGCTGCAGCCAGGATGGCAGTAGTGCTCTGGGCATCTCTGCAGCCCCAGCCACCCACAGCGGGGAAGAGAGGGCGGGGATGGCTGTGCAGTCAGGGCCTTAGCCTGGGTTCTATACCTCCGTCAGGGATGACTTATTCACTTTGGAGATCAAGTTGGAGCGGCAGAACATGCCTCACATGTGAGCTCCAGTGATGTCTGGCACTTTCTGGACCACTTTGGCCTGCAGCCCCATAAAGGCCAAACTTTTTAGGCAACCCTCTGTGCCTTTGTGACATTCTGAAGCACCTCTGAGTGGGACAAGCCCTTGTGTGTACTGCACTGTGTCCTCTAGAAGGGCTGCCCAAGGCTGAAACCAAGGCCAGGAAAAGGCAGCATGAGGAAGAGGCAGTGTGAGGATGCACGGCAGCGGTAGTGACTCCTCTTTGGACTGCATCCTGTGTTGAGCAGCTTGATCAGAAGTGACTGGAATGTGAACAGGTGCTGAAGAAGCTCGCCAAGGATATTGGGAACACCAACCATGCCCTGCTGCTCTTGCAGAGGCACGGCACAACAAAGCCTTCTGTCCACTGGAGGGGGTCAGGCCATTACCCCCGCAGACTGAGTGTCATAATAAGTTTGAGTTTGATGGGCATCGGGTAGACTGAGAAGACAACACTGTTAGCTGTGGCTAGGAAAGTACAAAGACATATGCTGTGGTGACCTCTTTTGACATCATGCACATCCATGAGACCACAAAGCAGGTAGTAAAGGCCTTCCAGGAGTTGAACCAGTCTACTTCGTACTTGCCATATGACACAGAGACACACTCAGACCACTGGAAGCAGCTGATTGTGTGTACCAACTGCCAGGGGCCAAGCCATTGCCATCGATCACCTCCAACTTCAGAAACTGAATCCTGAGTATCTGGCAGGGCTGAAGGCCTCCTTGGTGCAGCACTTCATAGTGGGGCCAGGTAAGGCCAGTGGGGTGACTTGTCTCTACTTTACGCAGGAGGGACAGCAAGACTCTCAGCCAAAAGGGCCTGCCCCTGGAGTGCATGGCTAGGGACCATTATATCCACAAAGACCTGCTGGGGTTGAACTTCCAGATCTCCCTTCACACCTTCCAGGTGAACAGGCTGACTGCTGAGGTGCTCTATGTAGTCTCCAGGACTGGCCCAGCTGGACACAAGGAGCACAGTGCTGGATGTATCTGAGGCACCAACACCAGCCACCTCGCCCTGGTCTCTAGAAGATGAAGAGAGATGTGGGAACTGAGCTATGCCAGGAGGCTGTGACAGTTGCCTGGGTGAACACCCACAACAATGAGTTGAGCAACGAGTTCTACTGCTGTAGGGTAGAGGACCTGGTGCCTGCCCTGGTGAGCACACTGGCTTCCCAGAAGCTCATTGCCGTCCTATACCACCTGGTACCCACGTGAATCCCAAAGTGATCCTGGGTGTCCACAGACCTTAGAACATCAAGTAGCTCCAGTATGTCTCCTGCAATCCCCAGTCATCCATGGGCAACTTTGTAGATCTCTTCAGTGCCCCATCTAACTGAGTGAAGAGCACCTTCTTCTGGCCAGTCAAGGCAGTGGCCATGGACCTGTACCTGCAGACTCCATATTGCAAGATGCTTATCTTATTTGAGAGGGTAGAGCACCGAATGGCACAGAGACCCCAAAGCCCCCTGAGCCCCAGGACCCTCCAAGCCCAGCACTCACCGGGGCCCCCTGATGATACCCACCAGGAAGCTGAGTCATCCCCTTTCCTAGGCTCTGGAGCAGTGGAAACCAGTCCTAGAACAGAACCCAGTCTGTATCGGGGCAGAAACCAGGTGGCTCTTGAAGTCCTTGCCTCACTCCAAAACTCTCAGAGATGGCAATCAACAGGGCACAAGATCCAGCTGTCCTGTCTAGGGCCAGCCTGTTCCTGTGGGCTGCAGGCTTCTGATCCCGCACACACACACCCATTTTTTTTGCACCAGTTGGCCTGCAAGGGCTCTAGTGAACTGCTGAACAAAAAGTAGAATAAAAATTTATTTTAAAAAATTAAATAAAATGTTCTCTACTGGCTATAGATGGGTTTTCTTTAGTTCTCATATTCTCAAAAATATGTAATTGCCCACATTTAAAGATTAGACTATTTCAAATAAAAATCTGGATTTTCAGCTTTCTTTTGAAAAATAGGAAGATATATAAACTCTAGGCCACCAGGTCCTCATGGCAACAGCAGGAGCTGTGCAGAGGCTGCCCCATTTGCTTGAGACATGTTCTCTCCAGTTCACACCAGCCCCAACTGGTTCTGCTTTACAAAATCTGCCTGACCCTTCTAGGCATTTGACTTTATATTAGTGGTAGTGAACAACCCAGAAGTAACTTAGTCATTACCAAAGGTGGTAAGTACTTAGTAGGCAAAAGTACTGAATTTTATGAGAGAGGAGTCCAACTATACACAGACTGGGGGAGGTTCTGCAAGTGACATTTGAGCTTGGGCAAGCTTGCAGGACAGAGGGGTCGCTCAGCTGACTCATTTGTAAGCTTCTCACCAGGCAAAGGGTAGGAACCAGATACGGTCTTATATCCTACTTTAAGTAGGTCTCACAATCATCCTAATGCTGTTTATTAAGCAGAACAGGAAGAAAGAGTGAACCCAATAAGACCAAAAAAAAAAAAAAAAAAAAAAAAAAAAAAAATTTGCCAGGAGCCATGACCTAGGAATGATTTCTAATAGCAACACTATTAGAACAGGTACTTGTAACCAGCACACCAGGGATAAGAGGAAAAAATCAAGCATGCGGCAGAAAGAACACAGAGCTTTCTTTTTATGTCTGGAGACATGTCTTTCATGAAAATAAGGAAACCTACAGAACAAAAAAAAAGACCAAATTAACAACTGGATCCAGTAATAATGAGCTTTCTGGGGCACTGGTCCACAACAGCTCCACACTCACTGTGCTCAGCAGCTGCACAGGCAATTTCTTCTTCCGCTTATGAATGACCTGCTTTTCTCTTGATACTGTATATTCTTTCAGAACCAGACAATCTCATTTCTCTGCACCCTATAGATCTCTTCAAAGAGAGTTCTGTGCACAAAGGAGATACATGGGATGTGGAGAATAATATGAATATAGACACCAACTCAACATTGTTATGTGGCAAATGTTCAGTTTACAAGAGACTCTCCCAAGGGTGAGAATTCTTATTTAAGCACTGTCACAAAAAAAATGTTGGTGCATCCTAATCTGATGTTTTTGCATTTTTATGATAGGTTCCATATTCCTCAAAAAAGAGACCACACTTTCCAGCACTTAAAAAGAAAAAACACAGCATGGACAACATCCTCCGAAAATCAGATTTGACAGTAGGAAACCTTCAAACGCAGGTAGTGGACAAAAGCTTTACTTTTGTGTTTCAGAAGCATCAGAAGTTCAGGTTTAACTGAATGCACAGCCCTGCTGGACAGCACAAATGTGGGATGAATTTAATGATTACCATTAAGAAATAATGTTAGTGGGGGGCATTTTGAAAGTGGCTGAAGGGTTGCTGAAGGCACCTAGAATGATGATGTTATGTGTCTAACAAATACTAAGTGAATTAAATTAAAATAAAGGCATGCACATAGGCTTCTTTTGAGGAGAAATGAAATTGTCTTTACCACTAAGTGGTAAATATAAATTTTTAAGCTATTTGCTATGACTTGAATTAAAATAATGCTTTGGGACTTACAAAATGTCCACTAATTCCTGAACTCATCTCTCAGGTAAAACTACCATCCCTTAGGTTTTGACAAGGTTTCCTGACACATGGCTTCATTTATTTGTATCTACATGTCATAGGTGGATGACCTCATAGAAACAATGACTGATAAGTCCATGAAGTTACTGGCCCAAAGACACGCTGAGCTTCAACAGTGTGAGTTTCTAGGGGACGAAATTCTTCAGTCTTCTAAGCAATTCCAGAGGATTTCCAGGAGAACCATGAGGAAGTATAAACTGAAAAATGTGTGCTTCCCATGTACCTGCTGCTGCTTCTGACTTTGTTCCTGATTGCATAAAAATTATCTTCCTACGGATTCTTACGTTTTGGTACATAATCCTGAATACATTTCTCTAGTGAATTAATCAATGTGGGATGGGGCATATTTAAGAATATTCTGCCCAACAGTCCTTAAAAAATGCTTTTACAAAAATTGGTTTTTAATCCTGAATCAATATAAGTGACTTTTGCTTCATAATTCTTACTAATAATGAAAAACAGAAATATTTTATTAAGGCATAACAATTCTGCAAAAAACTTTCTCCTACGATTTTCCAGATGAAATTAGAGGATGCATTTAAAGGTATTACAACACTTTTGATGTTAACAACAACTGAGCTAATTTTAAATTTTCACTTTTAAAAAATACGAATTCTTATTAAAATTATAAAAATGTAACATTAAGGTATAATTCACATAAAGTGTCATGTTTCTGAACTAAAAGAAATGAATAAGAATGAAACCTAACAAGTATTAAAAATATAATTCAATATTTAAGAAAAGTATAGGTGATTCAGTCTTAGCTTAATTTTGAAAAAAGTCATAAAATCCTTTATGCAAGACCGTCTTTATAGGCTATTCATCTCAAACTTCCCTTCATTTTATCAACTTTTTTCCATTAAAAATGACTCCTAAAGAACAAAATAGTAGAGAGAAACATGAACAAAACATTTAACAACCACATTGCTCAAGTATTAAGGAGAGAGATCTAGAAAGTAATGCGTATGGATTAACTTTACATTTTATTACCTCTTACACCAATGATTCTTAGTATCATGGAAACTGGCCCACAACAACCATACACCACAAACATTTTGCACACAATTTCACAAGATCACAGCCCTCCTGAAGCCTATTCAAGTACTTCATTTTCAAAAGTGGTAACAATTTATAGAAGCTGACTCATTTTCTTCAGGCACATCCTAGAAACACCACCTTCTCACAATCTTCAACTTATTTTATAAGCAAATCAATGTTAACAGTTAAGAACTACGAGCACAAACATTATCTGACTTGAAAAAGTTGTATTCAACATTTTTGGATGATGTTTCCTACCTTTTAAAAATAAATAAGGTATTTCAATAAAACAAATCTATATACTGAAGTCATTTTCCTTTGTGTGAAGAACTATAAACTGTATATTAACATTTAAAAGCAGAGTAGTTCAGTATCAAAACTTTAAATATCTCAAGAGGACAGCAAATTCTAAACACACTAATCATGTTGCTGATTCAATAGTCTTGGGAATGGTGAGCATTTGCCTGTCTATGGCTTCGGATCTGCTTCCAGACTTGTTTCCTGAGCTTCATCCACCTCTGAGAGCTTTTCATCATCTGCAATTGAGAAAGAAAAATAAATCCTTAGTCCAATTTGCTTAATTTATGTTTAATAAATACATGAAAACATGTTTATCCTTTACTAGCCAATATATTTAAAACAATGACGGCAAAATAACAGCCTAGAACTGTAATTGGCATACACAGGTGTTTAGTTTTAAAAGTTCTGTTTTTGTTGTTCTTGTGTATTAGTTGAATCAAAATGTAAAATTTATGTGATATAGGTTTCACTAAAAAAACCATAAAAATCTAGGCCTTAGGGTTTTCTTGAAAACAATCAGATCAGATAACACAGATATTTCTAGTTGACTATCATCAATACAATGACCAAGTCTCCAGTTGCCCCAAAGCACCCACTGTTCAAGAGAGTGCAGATATGCTTATCACTAATTACTTCACTCACTTATTATGGTCTGCCTGGTTCCTGAATTGTTACTTTATACTATAGCAAAAACTATAATAAACCAAGAAATTTCCAAATATATCATCCTTGAATTTCTCTTAATATAAATTACTGAATGTGTTTAAATCATTATTACAAATCCAGACTTTTATGCATACATTCAGAAAGTTGAACAACATAAGTATCTTGTAACATTATCTTATAAGTATCTTATATTGCTGTTCTAAAATTGAAGGTGTATTCTCTCTTAAAGATGTATATTTTAGAAAGTGTGTTCCTGGATCACTTAAAAATCTTCATAAACATTTGTTATGAAACTATCTTTACTTACTTTCCAGTGTTTGCTGAAGTTCATGGATGGTACTAAGAAGGACATGAAACTGTTTCCGTCTCAATTCCAGCTGTATTAACAAGAAAAAAAATTAATTTACATTGATCTATAAACACACATATCATGAAGTCTATAAAATTATATGTGCAGATACCTTGTCTTCAACACTTTCTTTAATGTGTGAAAGATGCTCTAATTCTTTGCCCAGAGCCTCTAGTGCCCTGAAAAACAATAAAACTGTTATATTTTGCTAATTGGGGTAACAGAGTTCACAATACCTAACTTTTTAGATACTAAGTAGTATTTTAAAAATAAAAAAGGATGAATTATAACACTAATGAGACTTTTATTTTTTAAATATATTCTCTTGATTATGCTATTACAGTTGTCCCATCTTTTCCCCCTTTCCCTCCTCTACCTGGTACCTCCCACTATTCCCTCTAGCAACTCCCCCCTCCCCTTTTTCCATGTCCATGGGTCATGCATATAAGTTTTTTGGTTACTCCATTTCCTACACTGCTCTTAACATCCCGCTGTCTATTCTGTACCCACCAATTTGTACTTCTTAATCCCTGCACCTTTTCCTCTATTCTCCCCCTTTCCCCTCCCAACTGATAACCCTCCAAATGATCTCCGTATCTATGATTCTGTTTCTGTTCTGCTTGTTTGCTTAGTTTGGTTTTTTAGATTCAATTGTTGATAGTTGTGAATTTATTGCCATTTTAATGTTCATAGTTTTGATCTTCTTTTTCTTAAATAAGTCAGTCCCTTTAACATTTCATATAATAATGGCTGGGTGATGATGCGCTACTTCAGCTTTTTCTTGTCTAGGAAGCACTTTATCTGCCCTTCCATTGTAAATGACAGCTTTGCTGGATAGAGTAATCTAGGATGTAGCTCCTTGCTTTTCATCACTTTGAATATTTATCAGTTCCTCCTAGCCTGCAAAGTTTCTTTTGAGAAATCAGCTGACAATCTAATGGGAACTCCTTTGTAGGTAATTAACTTAATTAACTTCTTTTCTCTTGCAGCTTTGAAGATTCTCTCTTTATTTTTAACCTTTGGCATTTTAATTATGATTTATCTTGGTGTGGTCTTCTTTGGGTCCATTTTGTTTGGCACATTTTGTGCTTCCTGGACATGTATATCTATTTCTTTCACCAAAGTAGGAAAGCTTTTTTCTTTCATTATATTTGCAAATAGGTTTCCAATTTCTTGCTCTTCTTCTTCTCCTTCTGGCACGCCTATGATTTGAATATTCGTACATTTGAAGTTGTCCCCGAGGCTCCTTAGCCTATCCTTGCTTTTTTGGATTTTTTTCTCCGTGCTGTTCTGTTTTTTTTCCTCCTTAAGTTCCAAATCATTGATCTGATTCTTCATTTCATCCCCTCCACTGTTGGTTCCCTGTAAATTTTTCTTTATTTCACTTAGTGTAACCTTCATTTCATTGAAGTACCCAATGAGTTCCTTGAGCATCCTAATAACCAGTGTTTTGAACTCTGCATCTGATAGATTGCTAATCTCCATTTTGTTTAGTTCTCTTTCTGGAGTTTTGAACTTTCATTTGGGTCATGTTTTGTCTCCTCATTTTGGCAGCCTCCCTGTGTTTGTTTCTATGTATTAGGTACAGCTGCTTTGACTCCCTGTCTTAGTAGTGTGGCCCATTGTAGAAAAGTGTACCCATAAGTTGGATGGTGTAGAACTCCAGGTAATCATAAGGGCGGATCAGCCTTAGTGAGCCAGGTTGATGGAGTCTCCAACAAGGTGTCCCTGCGCTGTGGCTCTGTGTGGGGGAGGGCTCGTAAAGGGGATAATGTCACTGCCTGGCCTCTGGAGTTTCATCTGGTAAGAAGTTGTCCCCTGGCACTCACCCTCATGCCAGACACTTGAGTTTCTCTCTCTATGACACTGGTGCCCTGCCAGCTGCTGTCCCAGTGCTGGAGCCTAGAGGGAGTGAGTATGCATAGGTCCTAATTCTGTGTGGGCCGTTTAAGAGGAGACTCCTGGGAATCCCACAGTTTCTTCCACCACCCCAACCCCCATTGTTTTTTACAGCCAAAAGTTATAGGGACTTATCTTCCTGGCACTGGAACCTTGGGCTGAGTGGTCTGATGTGGGGCTGGGATTCCGCACTCCCAAGGTATCCCTCCCAATTTTACCTACCACACATGCATGTGGGACTGCTGGTTCCAAGTCTTTACAACTCTGCATGTCTCTACTCCTCCTACCTGTCTGGATGAACTGACTTATTTAATTCTTTGGTTGTCGGATTTCCATATAGCTTGATTTTTCTGACAATTCTAGGTGATAGTTGTTTTGTAGTTTAGTTGTAATTTTTGCTGTGGTTGTGCAAGGGAGGAACTGTGTTTACCTACACCTCCATCTTGCTATGATAAGCCTTTTAAAGCTAATATGATTTCTTCTTACTTTTAAATATGTACTTATTTTCTTTAAAATTAAATTTCTATACAATCTTTACAGTATAGGAAAACTATAGATAATAGAATATCAAACCTCAAGAATTGGTATGTTTAACAACATTTTACCATATTTCTTTTTTTCTTTTTGGTAAAAGAAATAAAATATTACAGGTTAATTGCTGATTAATTTGAAATACACTTTTAACCTTACCCCAAATCCTCTATCTCAAGCCATTTTTCTTCCTTTACCTCCCACTCAGGCAATCACTGTATTATTCCAATCTTTTTGAATGTATATATTTGTATCTCTAAATAATGTACAGTGTAACTATATAATATTTTGGGGTCCTACAACTTTTATAAATGATTATAATTCTATATATACTTTAGAAGCTTAGGAATAACTTAACATTTATTTTATATATGTATATATAGATATATGTCTTCTCTTTTTCTTTTCTCTGATTATGTTTTTGAGATTTCTATTTAAAATGTGTCTATATACTTTATTCTTTTTAACTCATATTTAGTATTATACTATGAGTAGACCACATTCTAGTTATCATTTTCATATTGATGAAAATTTATTTTAGAACTATAGCAGTAAGGCAGGAGGAATAAAATCTAATCAGCAGTATTAGAATACATCATATTGACTATCTGATCCCTCCTTTTGGAGTATATTATGGATTCCTGTAAAAATGGATTGGCTAGTATATAAACATTTATATATAAACATTAGTTACTTTCAAGTAAAGCTCTAAACATACTTTAATGTCTCATGTCTGTCTGGATGATGTTGAATCACTTTTGCCAAAGCATCATATTCTGAAAGATATAAAAATATTTACTAAATTAAGTTCTTTTTTGAATATCAAAACAAAATGTGTAATATCACAAGTGTCTCCTAATCACTTTTCTGTTACATAAAGAGATGAAAACATTGCAGGATGTAAAGAGTATTGACAGTTTCATTTGAGTCAGCTACAACTGTAATGATACATGACTTAAGAGTGTTCCAAACGAGGACTTCAGCTCCCACTTTGTTTTTCATTTACCTATTCATGGTCAGAATATACAAAAGGCCAGCAGAAGCATAAGTGATCTTATGTCATTGATTGTCAAATGGACTGATTCTAAAGAGGACTGTATTTACTATTGGCCCAGTCAATAAAAGATCAGCAAGGTAAATACATCATACCATTAATTTTAGATCTTTGACAACAGCAAATTATACTTCTCACTCATTCTCAAGGTAATCATTTCAGAAACTTGGAAATGATTTAAAATTCAGGAACCTCATTTCTGTTCCACTGAGACTTCCAGGATAAGCTATGCACCTCCTACTAACCTTTCTCTTGAAATGATAAGTTGCAGCATTCATTTAAAAGCCTCATTAGTCAACAAAAAGAATGTAAAACATTTTAACAGAATTTAGAATTGATATTAATTATTAAACAAGTTGGTATATCTTGCTGTAAATTCTCCAGTGAATTTACAAAACATCTTTTAAAAATAAGGAGTTTAACATCATTTTAATTAGTTCATTAAAAAGTAAAACTCATTGTTTTAGAAATTAGCATATTAATTCAATAAGTGTGATTTTTAATAAAAATTTTTTAGATTACAAAATAATACATGCTTAGTGAAAAAAAAGGAAAAAAGAAAAAAAAGAAAAAAATTTAAGCCATAAAAGACTGCAACCACCAAATAACCATTAACATTTTCCATTTCCTTTTAGTTTTTCATATATGTCACAATTCTGATTATACATTATAGTTTTGTCTTTCTTTCAATTTACATATAGGAGGAACAATGCCTCTGCCATTACAAATTATTTTGAAATAGTTTCTATGGATTGCAATAATGACATACCCTAATTTATAAACAAAAGAGATCAAAACAAAACTTAAACTTCCTCTTATTATTTAGGCAGCTTGTAAATGTATGCCTCCTTTTTACAAAATGAGCTTAAATTCTTTTCTTTTTTTAAAGTAGTTCCATTAAACAAACAAACAGCAAACAGAAATGTAAATCTAGTATACTTATGTAAATAGCCTTTCCTAAATAACCGTAATATTATTTAGGCAAAGGGTTCTGAAGACAGAAGACAAATAAACAAACAAAAACCTGAATACTGAAGAAATACTTGCATAATCAATTCAATCCAGTAAAAAAAAAATGTTTTTTCAGCATAGCTTTCCTTCTCTGCTATTTTAAAGAATGTAATTTTAAAGAATTCAACTTGGCTCCTAATTCTTCTTTATAATTCAGGTTAATTCTAGCTGAAGAGTCTACCTCACAACATTAAAAAGAGCATGAAAATACTTGTCAATAATAAAGTATGTGCATACTAAATCCCACAAAACCCTTACCTTGGCGATTTTTTCGTATTCGTTTTGCTTGAAGAATTTGCTTTTTACACTCAGCAATTTTTTCATGTGCTCCAGCAATGCTACATTCTATATAAAAAGGTTTTTTAAAGATAGTCATAACAACATGTATAATTTCCATCCATTTTCAATTTTAAAATGTTTTTAAATTAAGTTCCTTTGCTAATAAAATCAATGCTGATGTTTAAAAAAATAGCTGTAACTTAAAGTACTGTATCATATTAAAATACATTTCTGTAACTAATTTTACTATATTTTTACTATTAATATTGTTATTATTTTACCTCTTATCAAAGAAAAATGTTAGCAGGTATTATTTCCTTTAGGCCATAAAAATTAAAATTACAGATAAAGAAATATTAATTACTTTAAGTTTCTTTACCTATTTCTTTGTAAATTTTTTCATAATTTTCCATTTCTCTGAGATTCATATCATATACCAGCAAAGTTTTGCCCATTGAAAATTCACACTGGGATAGTGTACTCAGCATACGTTGGTACTGGCTGTATCTAATTAAAAAAAAAGGAAAGTTTAAAGATTTTTGTGGATTACCGAAGTTGAAATATTTACAGTGCGGACAAAGATTTGCAAATTACATAAAGTTCTGAGAGAATCCTTTGCTTTAAAATAATTTAGAATATCTGTCCCTTATGTTTTCTTTTTCCAAATGTACTATATTTGAATTCATAAACTACTTTAGTTACAAATGCAAACATGGAACTGTTGTTCCTATAAGTTTAATCCATATAGCTACTTGCTTGAATTTTTGTTTTTAAATACTTTTAAAAATACTTTGACCAGATTTTTTTAATCTTCACAATTCTCACAATTTTTTCACTCTATATAATTATGTGAAAAGCTAATTCAAATGAAAAATTTTCTAATTTAAAAAGTTATTAAGTATATGTAAAACTTTGCAGCACCCTATTAGCTTACTAAAAAAAGAACATTTCATTTAGATATTTAAACACTTATCTGCTAAAAGTGACCAAATAATGGTCTGGATTTAATCTTCACTTCTTCTTACCACTATGCCTTCTGCACATTTTAATAAACATTTACTAGGCCTCTCCAGTGAGAATATTAAGGCCAGAAAAATCTACTCTTGATTAACCAAGAGTTGACTTAATTGCATATTTAAGGTGAATAAAAATTTGCAATATTAACGGGATTGTGTATAAGGTCTAAAATCATATTGGGACATTGGTATAGAAACAACAGTAAACAGAAATACCCCTCTTCCTGGGATCCAGAATTGCACCATTTAATGAAACTTTTCACTAGCAGATTAATTCTGCGATCATCTCCAGCACCATCTCCATCAATTAGGAGACGCTTCCGTATGACTTCATCTGGAGGAAAGAAGAATTGATGTGAATTAAAGAGACTGTCTGGCTCTTGTTAATTTCAGGAACATAACCAATATCACTATTTCATTCATCCAAAAGAAAATTACTGAAATGTAAATGTATTCAGTGCCACTAGATTGCACACTTAAAAAATGTTAAAATGGTCAATTCTATATTATGTAGGCTTTACTACTTACTATGTATTTGTAAGTTACTGTGTCAGTTACTTACTAAGTTACTTACTAAGTTACTAAGTTACTTACTAAGTATTTGTAAGTCTATATGTGTCAGGCACTATTCTAGGGACTGGGGTTGTAGCAGTGAAAAGCCATGCCCTCACAGAACTGTGATTCTACTTGCTGAGTTGTTGAGTAGAATTAATTTTCAGGTACCACCAAGGAAATAAGCCAATAATTCTTAGAGAGCTTCTTCGGGGGAAAAACGTTCAAATGGAAAGAAAACTGAAGTGTTCTTGTCTCTGACTAGTATGAGGTGCTGGTAACAGGAACAGAGGGAAAAGAGGATTTAAGGATATAATGGCAGACTAGGAAAAAAGAATGAGAGATGGAGCAGAGAAAAAGGAATGGATTTGTTTTTTAAAATGTGTAATTTAGTTATTATATTTGCAATTTTTTTCCCCATGAAGGCTTTTTTGTTTTTATTTTTTAAACAAGTCTGTTTCACTTTTGCTTTAAGGCAAAGAAAAAGAGGAATTAGAAAAGAAGCAGAAATGATTATGATGAGTAAGAAGTGGTCTGGCAGCTGGGAGCTAGTATTCTTCCTGAACAAAATCATGCTGGATCACAACAGGAAAGAGGCAATTTGAAACTGCAATATATCATTTTCACGTATCAGAATGGTAAAGATCAAAAGACCTGGTAATAAAAATGTTAACAAGGGTGCTGAGAAATTGCACTTACACTGATGGAATGTAAACAGCTACACTCTTTGTAGGGCAACTGACTAAAAACAATATTTAAAATGCACATTCTAGGAATTCATAATATAGATTCATGTGTACCCATGCACAAAGATAAATGTAAAGGGATGTCCTTAACAGTGTTGTTTGTAGAGGAAAGATTGCAAAACTAAACATTCACCAGGAAGAAACTGGTTAAACTATGAAACATATTATGCAGCCAAAAGAATAGTGTGGATATATATACTATTGCCACATGCACACACACAAAAGTTAGATATACTAAGTAAAATGAAAACAAAACAGATACAGAGAAGCATAGAGCTTGTTGCCATTTGTGTAGAAAAGGGAGAGGCATGCTATGTGTCTGCATTATGTGTGCATACATCACACACGTAGTGTGTTTATGTATTCAGAGAATATCTTTGGAAGGATACACAAGATACTGATACTACTGGTTGTTTTTGGTAAGAGAGATGACAAAGGATGAGATTTAATTTTATAAATGGCTTTGTAGAATTGTTTGTTGGGTTTTTAACATGTGCATGCATTTTTTAATAATAAATTTTAAAGTATAAATACTTCCTGGAGAGCCTGCCTGATGAATTAAGAGCAAATCTTTAAACAACGGTTCCTGTGTGTAGGCAGAAATATTTTTGAGCGCAGGTGCAGCAGAGATAAACTCTATAAGGCTGATGGCTCATTTTAAAATTTACTGTGACATCAGATAAACATTTTAGAATTGGGTTTTGTTCTCAGAACCATGGCTTTTATAGGCTGCTTAAACAACAGATTCATCAGGTGTTTTAATTTTACACTTTAAATAGAAAATTAGCCCTAGCTGGTGTGGCTCAGTGGATTGAGCACCGGCTTGCGAACCAAAGGGTCACCGGCTTGATTCCCAACGTTGGACACATGCCTAGGTTTCAGGCCAGGTCCCCAGCAGGGGGCGCACGAAATGTAACCACGCATTGATGTTTCTCTCCCGCTCTCTAAAAAATAAATAAACTCTTTTTTTTAAAGATTTTTACTATAAAAAATTTTTTTTAAAAATTAGTTTGTAAAAGCTTTCAGTTTTTAACCACCAACAATGTTATTTGAGGAGACAGACAAAACACAGTCCTTGAAGAGATGAAAATGCAGAAAATGAACTGATTTTTTTAAAAACCACAAACATATTTTAACTTTGTTAAAATAAAAGGAAACATAACAATGGGTAAGCAGTCTGGCATTCAACTGATACTGTTCAATTCCTTTGCCAGTCTTTTTATCCTTGCTTTTCCAAACCCCCTACCCCTAACCCTGCCTCCCCAAACTCCTCCTTTCTCCCAGATGTCTGGATATACTACTTTGTTTATGACCAGGGATCTCAAATGTAAATGCATTCAAGGAATAGAGAAATTGGGGAGTGACTATCGTAACTAAGGGGAAGTTACTACCAGAACTTGTTTTTCAAGAGATTTTTTTTTAAGTCTGGTAACTAACCAAAAAAAAAAAAGTTGCAAACAGATTTGCTATCTTTCCACCTGTATACTTAACATCTGTTCACTTTTATATATGTAATATCCCAATTACAAAAGTTTTTGAAAAATGTTTAAAATACTGTAAAGGCCAAGTAAACTTGGGAAAGGGTTCACGAGGGCCAGTTCCATGTCTTGCTCATTCTTTTTTCTTCCTAGCCTCTCACACTGTGTCTACATTTCTGATGTTCAAAAAATATTTTAAAATTGGATTTGTGGTGCCCTCCTGGGGCAACCCACCTCTCCCACCCAAGGAGAGGTTGGTCTCCATAAAACACTAACAAGTAGCAGCCAACTGTATCATTTTCAGGTTAGCAGCAGAGATTTCTCTTTTTGAACAAAAGACATGAATATTTGATCAATGAGCAGATGTGTCTGTCTCTAAGGTACCAGAGTAAGTTCTTTCACTCTACTTGGAGAAATAATACGCATATGAATACACACACCCAGAAGGCTGTGATTATTAAATGAGTGGCTCGGACACACAGTAGAAGAAATTAGGAGAGCTCCCTTTGGTTTGGGGGTTTTAGGGCAAGTTGATTTTGAGTTGCTCTTTTGATATTTAAAAATCATCAATCAAAAAAGCTAAAAGGCACCTAACAAAATTTCAAATATTTTACCTTTAAACCAATGCTAGATATACTACTTGCATACATGCATTATATATGTCCATCAACAGGGGACGAATTAAATAAATTTTGGTACAGGAATATGATGAAATAGCATGAAGCTCTATAAAACAAAAACGTCAACATGCTGACACAGCAATCATTTAAGATAACTTGTTAAAGAGCATGGTGAAGAACTGTACGTTTGGCATGTTTCTTTCATATAAAAATGAGGAATAAGAACATATAGTCACAAAGATACCCTGAAATGATATACAAGAAACTAATAAAACCGATAGAGGGGAGTATAAGCAGAATAGATGAGGAATGGGCTAGAAGGTGGGGAAATATCTTTTTATATTATTTGCTTTTGAGCCATATGCATACTCAAAATCTGTTAGCTGTTATTTGAAAATGAAAGCTATCATGTAGTGATGTTATCATAGGAGTTTGCATATGTCCAAATGCAATGAACTATACACACTGAATATGTGCAGGTCTTTGTATATCAATTATGCCACTGTTAAAAAAGATAGTAAGCTAAAGTCCTTTTCCTGGCCCCCACTCCAGGCAGGGAGAAAACTGTAAACTGCAGCAGCCGGACCAGGGACTTGGCTACCCTAGAACACCAGTGAGGCAGGGTGAGTGAAGACAAATACTGGGACCCAAGCCCATAAAGGCTGTTTGTGGTCAGATTGTGGGAGTCCACACTAGTAAAAGCCATATTAGTAGACTTGAATCTTGCTGGTAAGCACCTGGGAGTTTCTAAAGATTCATGGGTAGGACTTTCTGGCAGGATTAGGCTGAGGGCAGTGTATGAAGTGCACTACAAATGGAGAAAGGCCAAAGGCCAGGAGGTTAGTTAGGGGGCTACCAAAGTATATATACAGTTAGGAGCTAAAATGCCATGAATTAAAGTAGAGATTAGAATCACAGGTCCTGAAAGGCAGGTCAGGGCTAAGAAGAGACTTAGAAGAAGGCAGGACCAATGCCAACACTGGGAGGCACAAAGAAGAGTCTGGTATGACCAGTCTGGTGGCCCCAGCCGAGGATTCCATCAAGACAGTCAAGGCCACTTTCTGCCTTCAGTCCTGTCCCTTTTCTAAGAGCAGAGCATGTCTTCACAGCCAAACTGCTGGGTCAAAAGTCAAAACTGAGGCCACTGTTCTGCTCAGCCCACACAGTGTTTACTTTGGGTATGTGTAAGTATGTGACCAATATTTAACTTCATCTGTAAAATGGGAATAAAACTATCCACTTTGTAAAACTTCCGTGAAACTTTATGAAAATATATACAAGGAGCATAATGCCTGTTCATAGTAGAAAAGCAGGGGAAAAAAAGGGTATCCTTATCCTTACGTTAAATTTAATCTGCAATTTGTATCATCCTAAAAATGGCAGAATGTTGAAATTCTATAGATAAATCAATATACGTAGATAGATATCCATTTATGCATACGAAGTTTTGCCCAATTATGATCTCTCACAAATTTACTTCTGTCTCAACCTTGTTATTGCAAGGTCACAATATTTCTAGCTTAAACTGCATGGAGAGTTGCCTAAAAAATTCTCAAGGGCCCTGGCTGATGTGGTTCAGTGGACTGAGCACCAGCCTGCAAATCAAAGGGTCACAGGTTCGATTCCCAGTCAGGGCACATGCCTGGGCTGCAGGCAAGGTCCTCAGTAGGGGGCGTGCGAGAGCCAAACATGTTGTTTCTTTCCCTCCCTCCCTTCTCCTTTGTCTAGAAATAAATAAAATCTTTAAAAAAAAATTTTTTCTGGGGATGAGAATTACTGAAAAACCATATATAAAGCAAAGCACAACTCCAATAGAAACAAAATCAAATGAAGGGGTGAGGTGCCAGTTTGAAAACAGGCTCTGCTCTTGTGAAATTCAAGGATGGCCCACTGTTGACAGTTCCTAACACACATGGTATAAGCATTATTATTTTTAAT